AGAGTGGGCGGATTTCCAGCTGCACTAAGTAGCCCGGGCCAAGGTCACGGCTGCTGTACAGCCGGTCTGTACAGGAATTAGCACCTGATGCCCCAGAGGCTAAAGGACCCCAAGATTCAGCGAATATTACATCGACCCAGACTTTCCACCATTTAACAAATTCTGGCCAAAACATCCATGCGACACTCCAGGTGAAAGGCCTCACTTTTTACCAGGAGAGAAAGGCCCGGGAAGCGGAGCTCCTGCAGGCTGAATTACAGCCGTGTCACACACACAGGCTCATGCCAAGGTGCTAGCTGCCCTCGAGCAGTGATTTGGGAAAGAAAATTCAGAGCCAAATAAACATTTGGGGGTGGGGGGAGGGGTGGCTTTGAAGAGCCTCAAAATTTTCAAAAATCCAAAGAAGGGCTTTGGACCGACAACTCTAGTCCTAACCCAAAACATGGGTGCTTCTTCATCCTTTAGCCTTCAAGTATCAAAAAAACACACAACCTCTCCAAACATGTCTGCTGATTTTTAAAAAAATGATGTCTAGTCTAGTTTTTTCCTTGACATGGGGGCCAACACCCCATCACACAAGCCCCAGCGTTTTCAAAGGCGCTTCTAGAGGTCCTCCCACGGCGTAAGGGTCCACACGAGAGCATCTTCCCACGCAGGCCCCAAGTTACCAGACCCCGTCACAGGGCCAAGGGCCCAGGGCCTGGAGGACCATGGGCCTCGGGCAGCAGCAGAGGCTGGAGCCCGAAGCCGTCTCCGACTCCCACTGGAAGCCGACCCTCAGCTGCACGGTGGACACAGCTGTGGGGCAGAAGTGCCCAGGCTGCCAGCTGCCGGAGGCCCAGAAAGCCTGTGAGAACCCCGCCCCCGCCTCCCACCCTTGGGTGTGCCTGGCATAGAGCTATCAAGCCCAACCAGCTCTGCTCAGCCTCCACGGCAAAGTGCTTACCAGTGGTGGTGGGTGGTGAGCACTGTGGTCAGCTTCACGCCGTGCTTCTTCACGGCTTCTACAACCTGCAACCACATGGGAGGCAGGACAAAGGTCACCGTCACACTTCCATTGCTGGCTCGCCAGCCTGCAGGACGGGGGTGCCCAGCGGAACCCAGGATGTGCCAGGAGGGGCCGGGACCAGTCCTGACCCTGACGACTCAGCGAAACTTCGGTAGAGTAGGGTGAAAGTGGCTTTTTCCCCTCTTGATCCATTTGGCAGCTCAGGCCCCCACAACCTCTCCAAGGCCCTCTGGCGAGGGCACAAAACCTCAAGGAAGGGTAGAGCCGAGGACAGCTCCTGTAGCTCTGCCTGGGAACTTTACAGACATAAGCCCTTTTCTCTCCACACCAGAGCCTCGGGTTGCCCCCACCCCCCTCACTGGTCCTTTGCCCTGATTAACAGTGGCTGGACACTAGTTTGTTGGTAAAAAACTAAATGGATTAAATTTCCATTTAGCTTTAGCCAAGTTGCAAGAAGACTGCAGGGATCAAACCCATCAGTGGATCAAGAATTGGTGCTGGGGGTCACGCCTCCCACCTTCTGGGGCTGCACCGGGTCCACGATGGCGGCCTCCTTGGTGTCATCATCGATGAGCAGGTACATGTAATTGTCAGTCAGAGCAGGCAGTAACTCAACCTTCATGGTGCCCTGTTCCACCGTCAAGTTCTTCCTCAAATTTGTGTGATAGAGGAGGCTTCCCAGCAGGTCTGGACCTGAAGACAGAGTGAAGCTTTGGTCAGTGTCCACGTGATGCTACATCAGACACGGACCTCAGAACAAGCCCTCGATGACCCAGCAGTAGGGCCATCCCAGACATGAGACATCCCAGGATGAGATGCAGCAAGCATCCAGGGTGAGGCTCGCCATGCAGGGTTTTCTAAGCTCCTTTGACAGAGAAGAGAAAATCCTCATTTAACCGTATCAGTAAGGAAAATCTAGAAAATGATTCGTGTTCATATCCATGGAAACCAGCTCTTTCAGATTTAGGCTTCTTCTTTTCTTTTTCAAGAGCTGAAAAAGGACAGAAGTACTGGCCTATGGCTGTGATTCACACCATCCGCATACATGACTATTATCAGGTCCAGGTTGTTCACACCCGACTCAGAAGATGGTGATGAGAGGAACCCAGAGTGACAGTGCCAAGTCGGGCTGTTTCCTACCAACAGCGCACTGTTGCCTCTGCAGCTAACACAGCCTGAGTCACCCGCAGTTACTCACAGCCCTTCTCGGGCCTCCAGCCAGAGAAGAAAACAAGATTCACTTTCGAATGGCAGGAACTAGAAAATTGGATAAGGCACGAAAACCACCAGGGCCTGAGAAATGGAAAGTTGGCCACAATTGTTCTAGATTCAGGTGTGCAGGATACAGAATCACCATCTAACTGAGCCAATGGACTTGCCAGGGTGGCCAGGAGTGACTGAGGGGCACTCCACCAGCAGACAGGTTTCAGAATATTTTCAACAATGAAACTCCTATTATTCAATCTAAAGAATTCATGGAGTCCCCAAGAATACTTTAAGTCTTAGCATGAAAGGGACTAAAGCCGCACAACAAAAGATGACAGAAGACAGCCATGAAATTCTGGGGTAGGTACTAGGATGGGGGCCCCTCCCAAAAGGGATCCAGAAAGCAGGCAACACCCACTGACTGATGACAGGCCACTCTCTAGGCCACATCTAATACAGAATTCAACCTTGTTTGCCATGGCCAGGGAAATTGCCTGAACTGTAGCTCTAATGATCACACAATCCCCCTTTTCCTTTAACAACCAGCTGGGCATTGTCCAGGCCCTTCTCATGCACAGCAAAACAAACATTTTTGTATAATCAAGTTTGTGATATTTCACTTCTCCCGGGCCCCAGTGCTGTCTGAGCCTGAGCAGGACTAACTATTCAAAGCAGAGTATGTGTGCATATTGGGGGTGGGAGGAGAGCAGAGGGATTAAAACAGAACTCCATGATTCTGGGAGCACCCTCCTCAAAAGGAGGCCCCGTTTATGTATTTCCCATAGAACATTACCAGGACTGCCCTGGTGAAGGATCCATTATTTACAGTTGGTGCTATAAGAGCCTTGGGAACCTGGGGAAGATGCCGTTATCTCTAAGGAAAAAACCCATCTGGTGTGATCACTACCAGAAACCTTTTGCCTTTTCCAAAAATCATATCACCTAGCCCGCCACCGCCTGAGAAATGCTGCCAGCTCACTACTTTGCAACTGTGATCTTTCGTGTAACCAGAGGGCACGCACCTGCAGCCTACAGTCTAAGCCAAGTCCTGAGACATTTTTTTTGTTTGACTTCTTGTGAATGGGGCCCATACATCTGCAAGGCATCAAATGGCTGGGGCTCCCTTTAAAGAAAGCAGCCGCATTCCTGGTAATTTCTTATAGTCCCACTTAGAATATCTGCCCAACTCCTGACACAAAAACTCTTAGCCCTGATGCTTTGATAAGTGTTCCTAACTAGCATGGGGAAGGAAAAAAAAAAAGACTCTTCAGTAATGGTGACACATCAACTACTCCATCTGGCACTTTGCTGTCAGTGGGATTTGAAAATGTCCAAGCATAAGCCTTACTGCTCACTCCATCTACCTACCTTGTGTCCTGCGATCATTTAGCTAACCGCTAACCAGCTCCCAGAGACTCAGGTTAACCTACTGCCCCTATTGCTACATCAGCCAGATATCAGGAAATAGAGGAGATTTCAAAATAAAGGTCCAAATATACCAACAAAGCCAGTTTCTCAGTGAGCATTGAATCTGACAGCTGGAAGAGTAGGCTGTTGGAGGCCAGTGTGCCCACTGCCTCTCATTTTAGAGGTGTGGGTGGAAACAGTTCACTGGGCCAGTCTTGTTGGAACCCAAGTATTGCTCCAGGGTTCTGCCCTTTGTCATCACCTTGGAATCGCTTGCTTCAGGTTCTTTTGTCAGCAAAAAGCTCACATCAAAAGATGCAATTACCTTGTGGAGAATATACCCAGCATTCCATGGGGCTCTAGGTACAGTCACATCACCCCCAGGGCATTAGAAATACGGGTTTTGTGTGGGGTGGAGAGATGGAAATATGTGCCCCCTCATCACCCAGTGTCACCAGTGTCAAGGAGGACAAGGGCTACTGGGCTGACTGCAGGTAGGCAGGTCCGAGCGCCCGGAACATAGGTCTCCTTACCTAGCACAAATCCTTCAGTAACCCCAGCTGACAAGTTACCCCACTCTGTCTTCAGCCTGTCTCAAAGTCTGACCCAACTGCTGTGCAGCCTTTCTCGTCCCCAACGGGCCTGCCAGCCGCCGTCAGCGAAAGTTAAAATCCTGTGTCGATAAAAAACAGCGTCAGCCGCGGGAGCCGGCGACTCCTTGCCGCCCCACGGGCGCCGGCCCGCGGGCTTCGTCTGCGCCCAACGCCCGACTGCGGGCCGCCGGCGGAACATCTCGGCGAGCGCAGCTGGCCTAACCGCCTTTACACGACTATGACGCCGGTCAGGATCCTCGGACCTCGAGACTCCGGGCTCGTCTCCGACCTCCGGCCCCTGCCGCTGTCAGCCCTGCCCCAGCCCTGGCCGGCCCCGGCCGACCTACCCAGGCCGCGGCGGGCGCAGAAAGCTCCCAGCGCGGCTAGACTCCAGCGGCGGAGCAGCCGGTAGCCCAGCACCATGACAGAGGCGGCGGCGCGAGGGGAGGTGTTCAAGCGCCCGCGGCCAATCAGTGCCCGCTCCGCGCCCCTAAACCCATGCCCTCCGCTCGCCCCGCTTTCCAGCCAATCAGTGCCAGACTCGCGTCCCCGCCCCACCGTTCGACCAATCAGAGCTCGCGTCCAAACCTCCGCCGGCTGGGAGCTGGGAAGCGGCTGCAGCCAGGAAGAAATGTTAAAACCTCCGCCAATCTCCCAGGGGTAGGCCAGGGACTCGAGGTCCGGCAGCCCCGAGGCGGCCACTGGACCGCGACTCCCAGGAGGCTGAGCACCGCGACTCCGGAGCCCCCCGGCTTAGCGCAAAGCGGAACCGACCTTCGCGGGCGGGATAGCGCTCCGAGGTAGTTCGTCCTTTCTGGATAGCCGTAGACGTCTGGGGCCCGGCCCCGGCCTAGTCCACGTGACTCTACGAGCGCCCGGCAGGAGCCATGGCGGCATCCAGGCCGTTGTCTCGCTTCTGGGAGTGGGGGAAGAACATCGTGTGCGTGGGCAGGAACTACGCGGACCACGCCAAGGAGATGAAGAGCGCCGTGCCCAGCGAGCCGGTGCTCTTCCTGAAGCCGTCCACCGCCTACGCCCCCGAGGGCTCGCCCATCCTCATGCCTGCCTACAGCCACAACCTACACCACGAGCTGGAGCTGGGCGTGGTGATGGGCAAGCGCGGCCGCGCCGTCTCGGAGGCCTCAGCCATGGACTACGTAGCCGGCTATGCCCTGTGCCTGGACATGACCGCTAGGGATGTGCAGGACGAGTGCAAGAAGAAGGGGCTGCCCTGGACTCTGGCGAAGGGCTTCACAACCTCCTGTCCCGTTAGCGCGTTCGTGCCCAAAGAGAAGATCCCTGACCCTCACAACCTGAAGCTCTGGCTCAAGGTCAACGGCGAACTCAGGCAGGAGGGTGAGACATCCTCTATGATCTTTACCATCCCGTACATCATCAGCTACGTTTCTAAGATAATGACCTTGGAAGAAGGAGATATTATCTTGACTGGGACGCCAAAGGGAGTTGGACCCGTTAAAGAAAACGATGAGATCCTGGCTGGTATAGACGGGGTCCTCAGTATGAGATTTAAGGTGGAAAGGCCAGGATATTGATTCTACAAAGCGCCCTGATTTCTAAGTTTCATGAGAAGGGAGCTGGACAGAAGCAAGCAAAGGTATTAAAAGCGACAATCCTTTAATAAGTAGCCAATTTTTAAAGATGATTTGATTGTGTTGCTATGCCTCCAAGGAAAACACCATCTAGACGAGCCAGGTCAGAAATGGAGAGAGAGATAGTCTTTCTTCTAGGAAACAACTAGAATAAAGTATTTGTACTTCCTTCAATGAGAATTTAACAAACCAAATGCTCAGGAGACTAACTTTCCTTTCCTAAAACCGGACTGGATAAGACTTTTCAGTGGGTCATTCTGGGATCAGTAGTTCAAGAATTAAAATCTGGGAAGGAAGTTGCAAAGCATGTTTCAAATCAGTGTTTCGCACATTTCCTTGATCATGATAATCATCTGGAGGTATTTGTAAAAATGAACATTTCCAAATTACTGTCCCAAACCAGGCCTTAATCATCAGAATTCATCTTCAGCACTCCGACTGATTCTTATCCCTGAAATGTGGAAAAACACTACTCTGCATAATTAGTTAATTTAAAATTTGATTTAATAAGTTATCAGTGAATGACAACCTCACTCATTTGTACCCTGGCTCATAGATTCTAAGTTTAAGAGATTTTTGAAACTATTGTTTTCCAAATAAATATGCTGAGTTTTGTGTGGCCTAAAAATGTATGTTTTCCCCCTAATAGCGGCTAAGAGGGGCACTTCCTCATTACTGGGCTTCAGACCTTGGCCATTGACCTTTGGCCTGGTGTGCACAGTGCTTTATTAACAGTTAATCAGCATCTCTATCTCCCTACCAGAGATAAGGAGGCCTCAGGCAAGTTGACTGGCCCAGGAGGGCTATTTTGGCTCTCCTGCTCACTTCTCTAAAGAATGGCTAGACAAGATGCATGTAGCACAACTCAACAGACTGCCCTGCAGAATCCTTTGAGCTTAGGCAGGGGCTTTTACTGTTGGTGTAAACAGAAGACATCTGCTGGCCCTTTAAGAAAGTTGAGGACCTGGGTGGCTGGGTGGCTCAGTTTGTTCTGAACAACAGGTTGCAGGTTTGATTCCCACATGGGCCAGTGAGCTGCACGCTCGGCCCGCACCCCCCACCCCCACCCCACCCCCAGTGAAATTGGCTACTGGACTTGGAGCTGAACTGCGCACTCCACAACTAGATTGTATAACAACGACTTGACTTGGAGCTGATGGGTCCTGGAAAAATCACACTGTTCCCCAATGAAGTTTAAAAAAAAAAAAGCAGAGGACATCTAATTGAACAATAATAGCTAACTTTTATCAAGCCCTTAGTACTGCTAGATACTGTGTCAAGAGCTTTCCATGTATTATTTAACCCTCAACAAAGCTGGGAGGTTGGTATTGCTACCATCTCGTTATACTAATGAAGATGTAGATTTAGAGGCTAGCCAGCCTATCGCTATTGTCACTCAGCTGAGTGACAGCCAAGATGGAACCCAGGTATCCCGAGACTAGAACCTGAAGCCTTGACCACCATGCAGGCTGCCTCCTTTAAGTACATCTTTAAAAAGATTCAGCCCCATGATTGGATTTGTTTATTAAATGTCATGCTATCTTCTTTTATTTTTTAATCAAGTTTTTTAAATTGCTTAAGCAATACATGTTTATTACAGAAGAGTTAAAAAATATGGGTAAACAAAACAAACCAAAACACTCAAAATTTTATCCACCACCCCAAAAGTTGAATTTTCCAAATCGGGATGTCATTACACTTTTTAAAATATTTGCTCGTAACATACAATTTTCTAACCTAGTTTTTTCACCATGTGTTGTGACTATCTTTCCATGTTAGTCTGCACATTTCTCAGTACTGTTTTCAATGACTGCATCAAACTGGTCAGTCCTTCATTTTTGGCCATTGAGATTGTTTCTAATTATTTGCTAGTAGAATCAGCACATTTGTGGTTATTTCCTTTGGCTGGGTTCCCATAAGTAGAGGAGTTGAATCAAGGGTGTGCTCAAATTGGAAGTGTGTTAGTCTAGTTAGCAGATACAAGGTTCAACTGAGACAACCCTACCAAGCTAACAGACTTGAAAGCAAGCTAAAGATATAAAGCAGGAGCTTCCTTGGGTGGCACCTGATGGCACCAGAGAGTGTACAGTGCCCCTGGGGTCAATATTCACCACAGTGGTGGCACAAGCATTGTCACGAACAGCTGACAACAGCATTGGAGTTGTAGCATACAAAGTCCTTGGCTGCAAAAATAAAAAATTAAGAGACCAATTCCCATAAATCCTGATGTTGCTAAAATCACAATAATCCTAGAACCCAGAAGGTACATTTCCCCCCCAACTTTTTATTTTGAATAAACTTAAACCTACTAAAAAGTTGAAAGACTAATAGAAACTCCACATACCCTTCAACTAGATTCAATAATTGTTAACA